GAGCCCAACAGGTGAGGCTGCAGTGGCCGGGAGCGGCCACTGCACTCCAGTCTGGGCGACCGAGTGAGACTCCAACTCAAAAAAAAGAATTAATTAATTAAATAAATAAATAAATAAAAGGAATGCAAATGTCCCAGTTCATCACATTTTCCAATTCTGTGGTTGACTGATGTGAATCATCATGGACTAAAGTGTTTAAATGGGCCTGGCATTGGGGGCTCATGCCTGTAATCCCAACACTTTGGAAGGCAGAGGCGAGAGGACTGTCAGAGCTTGAGGGTTCTGAACCACCCTGAGCAATATGGCTGAACCTCATCTCTACAATAAATTTTAAAAAAAATTAGCCAGGCACGGTGGCATGTGCCTGTGGTTCCAGCTACTTGGAAGGCTGAAGTGGAAGGATCGCCTGAGCCCAGCTGGTTGAGGCTGCAGCAGCCATGAGCATGCGGCTGCACTCCAGCCTGGGGAACAGAGTGAGACTCCAACTCTAAATAAATAAATAAATAAAATGTTTAAATGATCAAAATGGCCCTCTATGAAATGGCAGAACCATTTTCTTTTTTTTTTTTTTTTTGAGAAAATAGGATTTATTTATTTTTGTTTGTTTGTTTGCTTTTTTGAGTTGGAGTCTCACTCTGTCACCCAGACTGGAGTGCAGTGGCCGCTTCCGGCCACCGCAGCCTCGACCTGCTGGGCTCCGGCGATCCTTCCGCCTCAGCCTTCCAAGTAGCTGGAATTACAGGCATGCGCTACCCCGCCCGGCTGATTTTTCGATTTATGGTAGAGATGAGGTCTCGCTGCCCAGGCAGGTCTCGAACCCGCGGGCTCAGGCAATCCACTCACCTCAGCCTCCCAAAGGCGCGGGATTACAGGCTGAGCCACTGAGCCCGGCTATTTATTTATTTTTAGTTGAGTCTCACTCTGTCACCTAGACTGGAGTGCAGTGGCAGCTCCCTGCCACCGCAGCCTCGACCTGCTGGGCTCCGGTGATTCTTCCGCCTCAGCCTTCTGAGTAGCCGGAATTATAGGCATGCGCTACCCCGCCCGGCTGATTTTTTGAGTTATTGTAGAGATGAGGTCTGGCTGCCCAGACGGGTCTCGAACCTGTGGGCTCAGGCAATCCACTCACCTCAGCCTCCCAAAGGCGCGGGATTATAGGCTGAGCCAGCCAGCCTGGCTGAAAGTAGGATTTATTAAAAGGACAGAAAAGCTCCCACAGTGGGAGAGGACACAAAGGGGTTGCCCCTGTTCTCTTTTTTTTTGTTTTTTTTGGCGAGCTGAGGTCTCACCAAGTTGTCCAAGCTGGTCTCCAATCCCGGGGCTCAGGCAATCCTCTCACCTCCGCTCCCAAAGTACTGGAATTATAGGCATGAGCTCCACCACACCTGGGAGAAGTGCTTGTTTTTTTTTCTTGATGCTCCATCTTCTTTTTTTCCTTTTTCTTTTTTTTTTTTTGAGTTGGAGTCTCACTCTGTCGCCCAGACTGGAGTGCAGTGGCTGCTCCTGGCCACCACAGCCTCGACCTGCTGGGCTCTGGCGATCCTTCCGCCTCAGCCTTCCAAGTAGCTGGAACTACAGGCGTGCGCTACCACGCCTGGCTGATTTTTTGATTTATTGTAGAGATGAGGTCTCACCAAGTTGCCCAGGCGGGTCTCGAACCCACCGGCTCCCGGCTAATTTTTTATTTTTATTTATTTATTTATTTATTTATTTGAGTTGGAGTCTCACTCTGTTGCCCATACTGGAGTGCAGTGGCCACTCCCGGCCACCGCAGCCTCGCCTGCTGGTCTCCAGCGATCCTTCCACCTCAGCCTTGAGACCAGCCTAGGTAACTTTGTGAAACCTCAGCTCTACAGTAAATCAATAAATAAACCAGGTGTGGTAGCATATGCCTGTAGTTCCAACTGCTTGGAAGGCTGAGGCGGAAGGATGGCCTGAGTCCAGCAGGTCGAGGTTCCAGTAGCCGTGAGCATGCCGTTATTCGCTAGCCTGGGCGACAGAGTGAGATTCCAACTAAAAAAAAAAAAAAAGAAAGAAAAAGA